TTGTATCCTTTTCAGTATGTATAAATAATAATATCCATGTTATGTTTATAAATAAATTTAAGTAAATCTTCAAATTATAAGAATATTTAGTAGTAGAAGAGCGGTCGTGACATAGTGGTACCAGAGCCCAGACTGCAGGTCCTGTAGACTGTTCATGTACACGACTCAGACCTTATGGAGTACAACAGTGCCAGTAAGCTTTCATTGTTATGTGTTTTACTTGTCTTATACATATTATTGGCCATGTAGTATAAATATGGCAAGAACTAGGAGCGACGGTAGTGGTGGTGCTAACAGAAGATAAGGTGAAGGGACATATAACCCTCGAGACAACCGTGATGCAGTCATCGGACGATAGACTGAACTACTAGAAAGACAATCCCATCAAATCCAACAACTTATCCTACAGAAAAATGTAAATGGATTTCCAAGAGGTGCTGAAAATCAAGGGCCATATCAGGCAGAGCCAGTCTATATAGTTGGAGAAAGATTCTGAAAATTAAATCCACCTGTTTTCAAGGACGCTACAGATCCAGTAGAAGCAGAAGATTTGTTGAGAACGGTGGATAAAATGTTCCATTATAGCAGAGTTTCTGAGAAGGAAAAAGTCTTGTGTGCCTCTTTTATGTTACATGGTAGTGTCGGGCATTGGTGGGATACAATCATGTGTATCGAAGATGTGACTACCATGACATTGGACCAATTCAAGGAGCTCTTCAGAAGTAAATATTTTGCAGCTCCCATAGGAGCAATGAAGATGAACGCGTTTATACAACTGAGGCAGGGTGGCATGACAGTTGCCGACTATATCTGCAAATTCGAACAACTCTCAAGGTTTGCAGAACATATGGTCAGTACTGATGCCTTGAAAACAGAGCGATTCATTGAAGGTTTGAAACCAGAACTTTATAGAGACGTTTGCATGGCTGGGGTACATGGATCTACTTACTCACAAGTAGCTGAGAGAGATCTTATTGCTGAGCAAGCAGAACCTAAAATAAGGAACGCAGTGGAAACCAGACGCCAACTTGTACAAAAACAAGGACCGCGTCGGGTTGGAATGGAGAAGAAGAGGCCAATGCAATTTCAAACTGAGAGACCTATGTTCCAACAACGACAAAGGCAAGAGCAAGGGGATGCGAACAAGCGTATCAAATTAAACCAAGGGAAAGCTCCAGCATTGCCTCCTACTTGTCCTAATTGTGGAAAGCAACACAGTGGGGAATGTTTGAAAAGAAAAGGAATATGCTACACGTGTAAACAACCAGGACACATGGCGTATATGTGCCCCAATCAACCAAAACCAAATCTTCAAGAAAAAGTACCAGCCATATTGTTCACCCTGACTCGTGAAGATGCTGAGGCGAATCCAGAAGTGATCACAGGTAACATATTAATCTCCGGAGTTCCTACTTTGCATTATTCGATTCTGGAGCCACACATTCATTTGCATCCACCGAGTATATGAAGAGGCTAGGTAGAGTACCTAATAAAATAGAAACAAATTACAATGTTGAGGTACTATCTGGAGAGATAAGACAAACAAACCAAATTATTCGAGCTTGTAGTGTCTCGATTGAAGGAAGAGAACTATATGTTGGTCTGATCATAATAGACATGAATGACTATGAGGTAATATTGGGCATGGATTGGCTATTGAAGTACAATGCCACAATTGACTGTCGGAGAAAGATCATATCATTTCAACCATCTGGTGAAGAATCATTTTCTTATATCGGAATTAGTAAATACCTTCGGTTTCTGGTAATATCAGCTATGAAGGCGCAACGTAAACGATGGTTGTACAGGCTTTCTAGAAAGTTTAATGAGTATTGAAAAGATGGAAAGCCCCAAAATTGATAAAGTTCCAGTAGTTCGGGAGTACATTGAAATATTTCCTGAATATCTCCCAGGATTACCACCAGGTTGTGAGATAGAATTTGTGATTAATATACAGCCAGGAACGGCTCCGATATCCAAATCACCATATAGAATGGCACCCACTGAATTAAATGAGTTAAAAGTGCAGCTACAATAACTATTGGACAAAGGATTTATCAGACCCTGCTTTTCACCTTGGGGAGCACCAGTTTTGTTTGTCCGTAAGAAGGATGGCACATTGAGAATGTTTATTGACTAGCGAGAGCTGAATAAGGTCACTATCAAGAACAAGTACCCTTTACCAAGAATCGATGATTTGTTCGATCAACTTCAGGGTGCAACAGTATTTTCTAAGATTGATATGCGCTCAGGATATCACCAGTTGAAGGTACAGAAACAAGATATTCTGAAGACAACCTTTAACACGAGGTATGATCATTATGAATTTATGGTGATGCCGTTTTTCTTGACAATTGCTCCAACTGCCTTCATGGACTTAATGAGTAGGGTATTCAAGGATTTCTTAGATAAGTTCGTGATTGTGTTCATTGATGATATCCTTATATTACTCTAAATCAAAAGAGGAGCATAGCAGACATTTAAGGAGAGTACTTGAGGTGTTAAAAGTAAAGTAGTTATATGCAAAATTTAAGAAGTGTGAGTTTTGGTTGAATCGAGTGGTGTTCCTTGGACATGTTATTTCGGGGGAAGGGACCTCAGTTGACCCAAGTAAAGTTGAAGCTGTTGAAAAATAGTCTCGACCTAATAATCTATCAGAAGTACGTAGCTTTCTTGGTTTGGCAGGATACTATCGGAGATTCGTGGATGAATTTTTTAAAATTGCTTCTCCATTAACACAATTGACCAGAAAGAACGTAAGTTTCAAATGGACAAAAGCTTGTGAACGGATCTTTCAAGATCATAAAAGAAGATTAACATCTGCACAAATCATAAAAGAAGATTAACATCTGCACCTATTCTATCAATCCCATCAAAGTGGAGGTTTTGTTGTCTACAGTGATGCCTCAAAAGAACGGTTTGGGTTGTGTACTCATGCAGAATGATAGAGTAAAAGCATATGCTTCAAGGCAACTGAAGGAGTATGAGAAGAACTATTCTACACATGATTTGGAGCTTGCAGCAGCTGTCTTTGCGCTTAAAACCTGGAGACATTATTTGTATGGAGAAAGGTGTGAGATTTTCACCGAGATGGTTAATATGAGTTTGAAGTATTTCTTTACATAAGAGTTTGAACCAAAAGAGTTTGCAGTATTTCTTTACACAGAAAAAGCTTAATATGAGACAACGGAGATGGTTAGAACTGGTTAAGGATTACGATTGTGTTATTAGTTATCATCCAGGGAAGGCAAACGTTGTTGCTGCTGCACTGAGCACGAAGTCGACACAACAAAATTCAATAACAGCTTTTTCTCAAAAGCAAGAACTACTTGTTTTACAGAAGATGTATAATACGTTGTTGAAAGAGGATCGTTGGAAATAAAGTTGGTAGCTCTAACCTTTCGTCCCTCCATAATTGAAAGAATACAACATGAACAACTCAAAGATGAGTATCTAGCAAAAGTAAAGAAGGATCTTGTTGTAGGAATATCGTCTGATTTTTATCTATTTAAAGATGGTGCACTTAAATTCAAAGGTTGGTGGTGTGTACCAAACGACAAGGATATCCGTAATGACATTATGAAGGAAGCCCATGCAACACCCTACTCGGTACACACAGGATCCACTAAAATGTACAGAGACTTGAAAATGCATTACTGGTGGCCAGGGATGAAGAAAGACATAGCCCACTATGTTGAACAATGTTAACTTGCCAATAAATAAAGGCAGAACATCAACGACCAGCAGGAACTTTGCAACCTTTATTTATACCAGAATGGAAATGGGAACATGTCACTATGGATTTTGTGGTAGGATTGCCCAAGACAGCCAAAGGTCACGATGCTATCTGGGTTATTATAGACAGACTAACCAAATCTGCCCATTTCTTACCCATCTGCTCTACTTATTCAATGGACTATTTTGCTCAACTCTACATACAAGAGATAGTAAGACTTCATGGTGTGCCAATATCCATTGTCTCAGACAAGGATTCCCGATTCTTATCTGTTTTCTGGAAGAGTATACATAAAACTTTGAGAACAAGACTATCTTTCAGCACTGTTTATCATCCTCAGAGTGATGGACAATCTGAACGAACTATTCAAACACTGGAAGATATGCTCAGAGCATGTGTATTGGATTTTCAGGTCAATGGAGTAGATTTTTGCCGCTGATAGAGTTCTCCTATTATATAGTTACCAATCTACTGCAGGAATGGCACCATATGAAGCATTATATGGGAGAAAGTGTCGATCCCCTGTACATTGGGATGAAGTTGGGAAAAGAAAGCTTTAGGGACCAGACATGATTCGAAGAAGGACAGAAATCATTGCACAAATACGGAAGAGGATGAAAATGACTCAGGATCGACAGAAAGGTTATGCCGATAGAAGGAGAAGACCATTGAAATTTGATGTTGGTGACCGAGTGTTTGTAAAATCAGCTCCTATGAAAGGATTATACGATTTGGAAAGAAAGGAAAACTTAGTCCGAGATATATTGGTCCTTATTTCATCAGAGAAAGAATTGGCGAAGTTGCTTATAGACAAGAGTTACCTAACTCTATGTCCCAAGTGCATGATGTCTTTCATGTCTCTGTTCTGAAAAAGTATATCCCAAATCCATCTCATATTTTAAACGGCAAGCCAAAAGGACAGAAGACTAACTTAAGTTACGAGGAGGTACCGGTAGAAATTCTCAAACGTGAGGTGAAACAACTACAAAACAAAGAAATTCCGTTAGTAAAAGTATTATGGAGAAACTGGATAGTAGAAGAGGCAACATGAGAAAGAGAAGATGACATGAGAGCAAAGTACCCCAAACTCTTCAAGTAAGTGAAATTTTGAAGACAAAATTTTTATAAGGAGTGGAGGATGTAATACCCCAGTTCTCACTAGTCAACAATTCATGCATTTTATGTGTTAAAATGTTAAAAGATCACATTTTTTATTACATATTTATTTTCCAAAGGTTGTGATAATAATAAATATACATATATA